CAGTTCTTGTACATACAAATAAATAAGTCTTTAAGAAAAAAAAAATTGTTTGGGCTTAAGCCTGTTCATCTTGGGCTGCTTTTTCTTTTTTTTTTTTTAATTTATTTATTTATTTTTTCATTTTTTTTTATATTCCCCATACAATTCCAACCCCCTTATTTTGACCCCAATCCCTCCTTTCCCTGCCCCCCCCCATAGTGTGTCTCTGGTTCATATTGTTTGTTGATTTCGATTTTTTTCTTTCTTATAATTATTCTTTTTCCTGGTCCCTGATTTAGGTGTTCTAGATTCCTGCTATGAGTGAGACCATCCGGTATTTTTCTTTTTCTTTCTGGCTTATTTTGCTGAGCATGATCCCTTCCAGCGCCATCCATGTTGCTGCAAACTTCATGTGTTTATCTTTTTTTTTTTATCATTTTTTTTATTTTAAAGATTTATTTATTTATTTATACAAGCACTGGGTACAGTCAGAAGCGCAGGAGGGTGAGAGAATTCACCAGAGCCAGAGCAGGGAGCAGAGCAGGCAGAAGGACCGAAGTACACTGCTGAGGGGAGCAGCGGGCGGCAGGAGAGGTCTGCGCGCCATGTGGGACCCTCCTCCTGTGGCAGGGGAGCAGCCGGGGATCGAACCGGCACTGCAGAGGCTGCGGGCAGCTTCGCAACCCAGCACTCAACCGCTGCGCCACCGGAGAGGCCCTTTATCTTTTTTGATGGGCTTCTTTTTCTTGCACTCAGTGGAGCCCTAATACAGGAGCCCTAATACAGCCCTAATTCTTGCTTCTGTCATGCATCCTTTCAAACACTCTCTACTCCTGCTGTGCAGCTCACACTTCCTAAGACCAATCCGTAGTTTGTGCCCTATGCCTGTCCTTAAGTTTAGAATGTCCTCTCCCCTTCTTACAACTTTTCAATTTCAACTCATCCTTGAAGACCCAGCTTACAGGGTTCTCCTCAAGAAAGCCATTCTTGTCCACCCTATGCAAGGGTGGCTGCGTCACCTAGTATTTACAAAGCCCTGCTTTCTTGTCTGTAACCCCCATTTGACAGTTTTTCATCTCCAAAACTAGTGCCTGGTGAAGGGGCTGGCATGAAGTATGTTTACTGAATGAGTGGATAGATGAGCATATTTCTCTTCTTCATGCCATCTCCCTGAATCACTACTGAGTTTCTATCAAGAAGAGGCACAAAGGAAAAAGTGGGAGGACTTGCTTTAGAGTGATGGATTCAGGAGAAAAGAAAATCCCATAGAAATGGGGCCAATGCAAAGTCCAATGGCATTTACAAGAGATCTGTTTTCTGCCAAATCACTGATGGTGGCAGCTTTGTGCTGAGGCAGCTAGTTTGGAACCAGTGCCAAGACAAGCAAACATTTGGTGCAGCGAGCTTTTCAGCAAGTTAGGATTTTGACCGCCATTTCTGTCAGTGGCCAGAGGGAAACACAACTAAAACCCATCAGGGTCTGCCTGGAATCAGGGTCCCCCATCTCCTTCAGCACAAGTCAGACCCACCGAACATGGCAACCCTCTCTCCCACCCTTCATCACCCCACAGGTACACACCTCCTCTAAGCAGGCTCTGTAACCCATCAGGACACTGGACACTGAGAACAGTCAGAGATGACTAGGGAACGGGAGGTGAGAAAATATTGCTTATAAAACACTCCATGGCTCCCACCTACATCTGCCAGTCTCTCTTGCAGTTAAGTTGGGCCTGTGTGACAAGTTCTGATTTACAGTGTGTGAGTGGAAGTAACATGTCATTTTCAGGCTGAAGTATGTAATTGCTGGTACACAACCTTCCAACTCTTTCCCCTGTTGAGTTGATCCTGAAAGTTTCGTGTCAAGACAGTGTAGCCCAGGAATGCAAGGAGTCTGGATCTCTGAATTACCCAATGGAGTGAAGGAGAGTTACTCTGGAGGGTGCCTTGACCCATAGCAGGCTTTCCATGAGTGGGAGAAAAAATATCATTGTTGGGCCTCCCCTGGTGGTGCAGCGGTTTAGCGCTGGGCTGCGAAGCTGCCCGCAGCCTCTGCAGTGCCGGTTCGATCCCCGGCCACCAGGCGAGGGTCCCACATGGTGTGCAGACCTCTCCTGCCGCCTGCAGCTCCCCTCAGCAGTGTACTTTGCTCTGCTCTCCGCTCTGACTCTGGTGAATTCTCTCACCCTCCCGCGCTTCTGACTATACCCAGTGCTTGTATAAATAAATAAATAAATAAATAAACCTTTAAAAAAAAATTGTTGTGTTAAGCTATTAAGATATTTGTGTTGCTTGTTACCATAGCACAGTCTAAGCTCTTCTGACTAATACATAGAAATGAGCTGTTGGAGCCATGCAGGATGAAATTGACTTCCTACTTGAAGAGAAACATTTCCCCTGCTTATAGGACTCTCTGGTATTGCCAAATCTGCCAAATCTAGTGGCCACGTCTCTGTTCTTATCTATCTTGATTTCTCAGGAGCATGTGTCATAATAGACCACTCGGAAACATTTGACCTTGGTGTCTGTGACATCACTCCTGCTTGATTTTTCTCCTGTCTCACAGTCCCTGCTTCTCAGTTTCCTTTGCCGTCCCCTCTACCACTGCTTTTTGTTTTTTGTTAAGATTGATTTTATTTATTTTGCGTAAAAGAGCTGGGGTGCAGGTCAGAGGTGCAGAGGATTCACCAGAGACAGAGTAGGGAGCAGAACAGGCTGATCTACTGAAATACACTGGTAAGGGGAGCAGCGGTAAGCCAGGAAAGATCGGCTGTGCCATGTGGGTCAACTCCCTGGCCGGGCATCAAACTCATGCCTCAGTTCCTGGAAATTACTTGATAGTGCTGAGACTTTAACTACCGTACCAGCAGGGAAGCCCCCTCCTCTGCCACTGTTAGACCTCAAGAGTTTGAAGCCTCTCAGAGCGTAAGTAACTGTTTAGAAACTTTCTCATGTTATTTTATTTTTGCTACATAAATTAACCCATTTATTATAGGCTAGCAGTGTTTCAAGGTGGGCCTTCTACTGATCTTTCAATTCCTTCTGTCTTCAGATGATGGATTTTACTATTGTGGCAAAAATGGTATTGCAGGTCTAGGCACCACCAACCACTCTTCATGCGGGAACCACAATGTGAGATTCCTCCCAGTCTGTCTCTTCATTTTGATTTTGCCACAGAAGGAGCAAGTATACTTGGCACGCTGGCTGGTTTCTATTTTCTTCACCATTTTCCAGAGGGAGGCCCCGTAATGTGTTTTGTATTTATCAATGATTCTGATCTTCTTGGTGTGATTTCGACCTTCTTAGGGTGTTTAGCCACATGGCTAAACCCAGAGAGGAAGAGTTCTCATGGTTTTAACCACCACCCATGAAAAAGGCAGCTGGTTACCTTTTAGTATACCTTTTAGTATTCACTTTACCATTCTTACTTCCTAACAGAGTCCCTATTTTTAGCTGAGCACACTGTACCCATTTAAAGACTACATTTCCCATTATTGCTATGTGACTTTTTTTTTTTTTTAAAGATTTATTTATTTATTTATACAAGCACTGGGTACAGTCAGAAGCGCAGGAGGGTGAGAGAATTCACCAGAGCCAGAGCAGGGAGCAGAGCAGGCAGAAGGACCGAAGTACACTGCTGAGGGGAGCAGCGGGCGGCAGGAGAGGTCTGCGCGCCATGCGGGACCCTCCGCGGGACCCTCCTCCGGTGGCCGGGGAGCAGCCGGGGATCAAACCGGCGCTGCAGAGGCTGCGGGCAGCTTCGGGCAGCTTCGCAACCCAGCGCTCAACCCCTGCTGTGCCACCGGGGAGGCCCATATGTGACTATGTTTTGGATGTAAGCAAAAATGTGTGGAACTTCCAAGGTGTTCTTAAAAAGAAGAGAGGGCACTTTCCCTTTTCCTTCCCACTGTCTGGAATGTGGAACATGATAAAGTTATCTTAAGACTGGAAACCAGTGGCTAAGATTGTAAATGTAGCCCTGAACTGCCTAGCTTTGGACTTATTTTTCAGGAAGAGAGAAATAAATTTTAAAGGTAAGTCATTTTTCTCCTTTTGTTATTTTCAGTTGAATCTGATTCTGACACACTCTGTTGCTGGTGAAGCAGCTTTCTTACCTCCTATTCGATAGTTTGACCATATTCACCCCAGTCAACACAGTAGGGAACCGGCAGAAGAAAGGCACTTTCAGGCAAAAAAAAAAAGGGGGGGAGTCTCTTTCCATAAATTTTAAGTAACCAACCTACCAGAAGGGCAGAATTGGAAGTGGAGGTAGGAATAGTTTGGTAGCTCACAGAGAGCACTGTCTGCTGGATGAAGGAAATTGGTCATTGAGGGCAGGGCCCTCGCCTGTCGCATCCAGTAACGCTCCCACTTTGTGGGTGCTCTGGGAATGACTCTATTCTTTATTATTCTTAATTAATGCTGTTTGCTTAAACAAATAACAACAAAATATTATAAACGTTATAAAATAATATTATAAATATTATAATATTATAAATAATATTATACATATGATAATAACAGCAAAATATTCCAGCTGGGAAACACCTTCTGACTGACCATTGTCAGCTTTTTACAAATGGAGTAACGGAAGCACCCATTCCTGGAAGTGGCAGTGCGCCTATCCAGGGGGAAAGGCAAGCCGGAAACGCCACCTTAGGGGTGACGCGGGTAGTAGGGGCAGAATTGGGGGCAGGCCCCAAAAAGCAGTTGGGCCAGGGTCTCTCCAAGATGGCCGCCCAGGAATCACCTGACGGGCGAGGGGGCGGAGCTCCGGCCCAGCTCGCCCGGCCCCGCCCGCTCGGCCCCGCCCAGCGCCCCCTCGGCCCGGGCGGCGCGGGTTGTGAGGTGTCTGAGCGAGGCGCCTGCGCAGTGGGCAGCGGCGCGTGGGGCGGAGGCTTTATAACCACTTCGTCGCCGCCGCTGGGCTTCTATCTCGGGGAGGGCGGCTGAGGCGCGGCGGCCGCGGCGCCGGCTGAGGGGGCGCTGAGGCGGGAGCCGTGGCGGCGCTGGGCGCCCCTCGCCCCTCGGCCACTGGGGGTCATGGGCTCCGAGAAGGACTCCGAGTCGCCGCGCTCCACCTCCATCCACGCGGCCGCGCCCGACCCCAAGTGCCGCAGCGGCGGCCGGCGCCGGCGCCTCACCTTCCACAGCGTCTTCTCCGCCTCGGCCCGCGGCCGCCGCGCCCGGGCCAAGCACCAGGCTGAGCCGCCGCCCCGGCCGCGCCGCCGCCGCCCGCCCCGGCCCCGGCCGCGGCCCAGGCCCCGCCGCCCGAGGCGCTGCCCGCCGAGCCGGCGGTCGAGGCCGAGGCGGAGGCCGCGGCGGCCGCGGCCGGGCCCGGGTGCGACGCCGAGGAGGCGGCGGAGGGCGGCGGCGCGGGCCCCGAGGAGGTGGAGTGCCCGCTGTGCCTGGTGCGGCTGCCGCCCGAGCGGGCCCCGCGCCTCCTCAGCTGCCCGCACCGCTCGTGCCGGGACTGCCTCCGCCACTACCTGCGCCTGGAGATCAGCGAGAGCCGCGTCCCCATCAGCTGCCCCGAGTGCAGCGAGCGGCTCAACCCGCACGACATCCGCCTGCTGCTCGCCGACCCGCCGCTCATGCACAAGTACGAGGAGTTCATGCTGCGCCGCTACCTGGCCTCGGACCCCGACTGCCGCTGGTGCCCGGCCCCGGACTGCGGGTGAGCGCGGGGGCGTGGCCGCCGGGGTGGCCGCCGCGGCGAGGGGACCCCGGCCGGGGGGCTGCACCCCGCGCGGGGCCGGCCGTCGGGGGCTCCTCAGGCTGCGCGCGCGGGAGGGGGGCCAGGGACAGGGAGACCCAGGGCGCCTGGCGGGAGAGGCGAGGCATGACCCGCGGGAGGGGGGAAGGCGGCCACTGCGGCGGGCTGCTCGCCGGTAGCCCCCCGCCAGCCCGGAGGAGTGAGGGGCAGGCACCCCACGCCCCATCCCTGCCCCAGGGCTTGAGGTGGGGCCGCGCCGTCAGGGAGGGTCAAGGAGCTGTCCATGCAGTCAGGAGGCTGGCGAGGCAGTGTGGTCTGGTAGTCAGATGCCCCTCTGCCCCGAAGGAGAGGGTGTCCTCACTGCGGGCAGGGAGGGCTGTCTGGCAAAGGGCAGGAGGAGAGGATCATTCTGAGGGGTCAGCGCTTTGGAGGGGTGTGTCTGTTTCGCTAGGGACAGACTTCGCAGCACTGCGGAGAAGGTGTGTGCTCACTGGCCAGCACTGCTGAAAGTTGGGGTGGAGGTGAAGGGAGTGGCTCTCCGGGGGAAGGACAGGTCATTGGCCGAGCTCTGGGGGTACTCTGGGCGTAGTGTCTTCTGTGCCAGGCTCTTGGGGGGCACCCTCTGGTTCTTGCACTGCTGCTTTGAGCGGGGTGAGCAGTGGATGGGCCCTTTTCTTGGTCCGGAGAAGCAATGGGTTACTGGAAAGAAGGATGGTGGGAGGTGGATGTGGTAGAGAAAGATGTATCCCCCAGGCCCTCTGATCTGGAGTTTCAGTGAAGTGTCATTTTAGTGCACTTTGGGTGCTGAATTTTAGGGTCAGTGAGAAAAGATGCAGTATCGGCAGAGACATGACACCCCCAGATTTCACTGTCTGGAGCATTCCGTGGAGATTGTCCCCACCACACTTTGCAAAATTTGACTGTTAACTATGGGTACCTCCCATGAATAGTTGCATGCAGCCGAGGCTCATCTAAATGATTTCCAGTTAGTCTGTGCCATTACCTGCTCGGTGACCTTGGACAGTTCATTTTTCTCTTGTGTGTCAGGATTCAGGGACAAAAAGGTGCTAGGGACTCCTTGCAGTGTGTACATATAATGCTAGTAAAAAGCTGCGTGATCCTTTGCTTCAAAGAAGTTCGGGGCTTTTAATTGTAGCCTGTATATCAAGGCCATTTTAAGATGTCCATGATGCTGTGCTTATTCCCTTTAACAGAAGCATTTTAGAGTGTGTAGGAGAGTAAGGAAAGTTAATTTCTGTTTTTCAATTCTGCCAAACTTGTGTAGAGATGGATGTGTTAATTAACCTCAGTGAGACGGGGTTTCTAAATTACTTGGAAGTGTTGTGGGCAAAGGTGTGGGTTTATGGTAGGTCACTTTCACTTTCAGTTAATAAATATCACAGAGAAGCTGGCAGGCTCTTGTAAGAGTTTGCTTGTTGTATCTGGTGGCCTGGTGTGCATACTGAAGAAGTTAACGCATATGGTATTCAGGGTTTACAGACACTACGGATATATTTTCTCAACCAAAGGAATATTTACTTAAGAGAACATTACATCAATTTGGAATACTAAACTCCTTTTGTGAGATGTCAGTTTCCTTGAATTTTAATTAAGAACTGTAGCATCATTGATTGTCTTTCCAGAAAAGCTCCTTTTTGCTTTTTACTTCTCTGAAACCCTGTCTTTGCTCACATCAATAAAAATGGACAAGTGTTAGTTTATAATCTTGGTAGTGACAATTCTAAGCCGTTACTCATTGGGAAGTTATTAAAGAAATAGGCCTTTTCTTGTTTCAGTAAAGTACTGGCCAGAGGTGTTTTGGTTTTTTTTTTTAATTAGTTAAAAGAATTATAACAATTATATATCTAATTTTTTATTGTGTCACTTGTGAACTTAAATGAAGTCTGGGGAAAGAAAGCAAACTGAAATTTAAGCATCGAGGTACTGGTCATACTAAATTTAATTTGGTCCTTACTTTAAACATTGTAAGATTTAATCTAGTTTTGTAGATGAGGAAAGTGAAGGTTAGAGAAATGGAGTGAATTGTTCAGGATCATATAACTAGAGAGTGATGGAACCAGGCATGGAACACTTGTTTTAACTCCAAACAAAGCCAATATTGTTTTCTGCTCAACCTCTGTTTTAAAAAGCATGGACTTATAGAATTATTGGGGATGTTAACTCTTTTTGTCATATTATCAGTTGTAGACTAGAGTTAAGGATGCTAGAATCTAGTTTCTTTTCTGATTCTTATTGTTAACAGTGCCTTTATTTTTCTCACCTGAAATAGACCTACTCCTTTTTTGATTTGAAAACGATTAATGTTTGGGAGGTTTTTTGAGATTTTCAATGGAAGGTGTTAGATGAAGAGAAGTAGATAAAATACCGTCACAAACAGGCATATGAGTCCCCTACCAGTGTGGCCAGTCTACAACTGTCTTTTTAATGTGTGGAGAAAAATAGCTTGTTTTGTTTTACAAGCAATTTTGATCTGCTTCTGGTAGAAATCATGAATGAATACTAGAAGAGAAACAGAAGTCTCATACCTGCTGTATTTACTCCCCACAGATCAAGTTCTTGCCAGCCAAATTTATCCAAATCCTCTCTTTTCGCTCTGTGTGTGTTTGGCAGGATTAGGGGCTCATGTAATTCATCTTACAGGATTCTGTCCACTAGTGTCACTGGTATTGCTCAAGATTATAAAAAATCATTACTTGATTACTAAATATTTGTAGAACAGAATAGAGCCTTGAATTTTTCTTTTCCCATACTTGAATAGTTTTATTTCATAAATAAAAATGAATTTCAATGGGAAAACTTTCACATTACCAAGTATGATCATTAAAACATATCTTCCAATGAGATAAATTAACTCAAAATGCAAACAGCTAACATTTTTATGGTTCTTTTTAAATCTTCAGACTAAAATCACATTTAGAAATAATTTTATCTTCATTTCATACAGGTAGATCATGGTAAATTCATTTTATAAAAGAGAAACCTGTTCAGAGAAGTTTACATTGGGGCGCAGTGTCTCACAGCTAATAAACGGAAGTTGATCAATATTACCCCTCAGAATCTTTACTTAACAAGATCTTTTCAGAAACTCCCAAATAATGTAAATACAAAGTATTTTTCTCTCAAGTGCCCTATTACCAATCTTTAAACTTTCTCAGAATCTCTAGAAGATTGAGGAAAATTCTTCATGTAGGTCTACCACTGGAGACTCTCACTGCTACCCTTATCTCTTCCAGAGTCCTTCTACCCCGACCTCAGCAAATAGTATCAACTATTGGCCTTCCTGAAAACTGGACTGAGCCATCCGTTAAACAGGAAACTTCTGTTGGTTTCTAAGACATTCATGAGGGAAGAGCAGGCTCCTTGAGCAAGACAAATTTGTCAGTCCATGAAAGAGTATTTTTCCTCTCTAAAACCTTCCTGGACCATTTATTTTAATATTTAGCTATGTACCTTCTGTTTCACAACTCTTTAATCCCTGCCCTCTCTCCCTACTATCTATATCCTCTTCCAGCCCAGTACATTTTTCTCATATTTGCCTATGTACTCATCCTTAAATGGGCCATTTTACATCTTCCCCAGCTTAAAATTACTGACCTATAAGGTGCTTTCTGTGTCTTTAAGAATTTATTTATGTGATCGGTCCTTACAGTGTAACCTCCTTTTTACAGCCTCTAACCATCTTTTGATCTTATATTCTATTTTTCATCTATAGCAACATTTCCCATGGCATAGTTTAGGTATTACTTGAAAGAAAAAATGTTTTGTGACCAAATGAATTGGGAAATAATTGGATTGAACAACATAAAGCCATTTTTTTCCTGAGCTTCTTAGATACTTTTTTTTTTTTTAAAAAAGATTTATTTATTTATTTATTTATTTTATACAAACACTGGGTACAGTCAGAAGCACGGGAGGGTGAGAGAATTCACCAGAGCCAGAGGGGAGAGCAGAGCAGGCAGAAGGACCGAAGTACACTGCTGAGGGGAGCAGCGGGCAGCAGGAGAGGTCTGCGCGCCATGTGAGACCCTCGCCCTGCCGGCTGGGGATCGAACTGGTGCTGCAGAGGCTGCGGGCAGCTTCACAACCCAGCATTCAACAGCTGTGCCACCGGGGAGGCTCACTTCTTAGATACTTTAAACACGATAATGTATATATACTATAAATCTTACTAAAACTAATATACAATGTAAATCTTCAGTATGGCATGATTTCCCCAGACTTAGATCAACAGGGAACATGTTTTTGTTTTTTTTCTGTGGCATCTTTTAGGCTTAACTGAAACTTTCCCTGACAGTTTGCTATTTTCTGATCTCCTTAACAGTTATTCTGGCCATTTAGCCCTTAATGAATCTTGTGCTCTGAGTGAGTTGAGAGCATCTTCCAACTAGGATAGCTATATTCTCACTTTTTTTACAACCCCATGAACAAAATCTTTCAATTGGGTCCCAGAAGAATGGGATGAATAGTTGATTTTTCGTAAGAAAAATAAAGACTATGAACAACATGCTTTTTGGAGGAGAAACAGATGAGGACGGATAGGCAAGAAGAATTGGACATACAATTATAAATGTGATACAATAATTACTAAACAAAATACAAGTGCTTTTAGAGGATAAATGGAAAGTTTTCCATAATGGTGTCAAGGAAGACTTTACAGAGAAGGTTAGATTTGATCTGGGTCTTGAAGAATATGAGTAGGAATTCTTACCAGGCAAACAAAGATGAGGATACCTTAAGCATCATGAACTAGAGTGTCATGAGCAAATGCATGGAGATACAAAAATACAAGATACAGTACGAGTCAATTTGGGTAGCCTCTGGAAGTGCAGTACAGGGAATGTGATCTGGGAGGTAACTAGAGAGCACTCTGAAAAGGTGGGCTAGATTCAGGTTGATAGGCCTAAGCCATATGAAGAGGTTTAGGTGTAAAGGAATTTTTTCTTTTTTGTGGAATAATTTTAAGCAAAAGAGTACCATCATGAAAGGTAACCTTCTGGAATGGAACTTGGATTGAAGTAGGGAATATGGAGTGGTCTCCATTTTTTTTTTTTTTTAATTTTTATTTATTTATTTATACAAGCACTGGGTACAGTCAGAAGCGTGGGAGGGTGAGAGAATTCACCAGAGCCAGAGCTGGGAACAGAGCAGGCAGAAGGACCGAAGTACACTGCGGAGGGGAGCAGCGGGCACAAGCAGGAGAGGTCTGCGCGCCGTGTGGGACCCTCCTCCGGTGGCCGGGGAGCAGCCGGGGATCAAACCGGCGCTGCAGAGGCTGCAGGCAGCTTCGCAACCCAGTGCCCAACTGCTGCGCCACTGGGGAGGCCCTGGTCTCCATTTTTTGATAGAAGAGTCTCTTGCAGTTGTTTGGCCAAGAAATGAGATGGGTTTGCAAAGGTCAGGAAAAAGGAAGATAATAAGGTTAGAGCTCATTGTGATGACTTGCTCTATGTCTACCACCCTTACACATGCTCAGGATCCATTTGCAAGTGAAGTTACATGACCTGGCGATGGGAAGTGTACAGACATAATATGGGAACAGGTTACCTCTAGCTAAGCATGTGTGTTAGCATAATCATATCCGTGGTGGTGCTGTGGTCAAGCTTGTCACACATTATGAGTTTCTGAAGATTTAGGACTTTAACAAAATTACTAAAAGTTATGTGAACCTAAGTGGGGGGAGGGACAAAGGATGCTTCTGTATTTTTACCAGCGTGCAGTTTCCTACTCCTTCCACTTAACTACTAATTAGCAAACCTCAATGCTTGGCTAAGCAAAGAGAGCAAGGTAGGAGAGACTTGGTGTAGAACATCGAAGAAAACCAACAAGATGTTTGAGATAGATTCTGTCCTAAAGATAAGGTTTTTTTCCCAGCTGCCTGAGGAACAAGATTGCCCTATTCAGAATTTAGTTTGCCCCTGTTATGAATATATCAACTTAAAGGATTAAGCACCTAAATCAATAGATACATAGATAAATTTATTTTTTTTAAAGATTTATTTATTTATTTATTTATTTATACAAGCACTGGGTACAGTCAGAAGCGCGGGAGGGTGAGAGAATTCACCAGAGCCAGAGCGGGTAGCAGAACAGGCAGACAGACGGAGGACACTGCTGAGGGGAGCAGCGGGCACAAGCAGGAGAGGTCTGCGTGCCATGTGGGACCCTCGCCTGTGGCCAGGGATTGAACCAGTGCTGCAGAGGCTGCGGGCAGCTTTGCAGCCCAATGCTCAACCGCTGCGCCACCAAGGGAGGCCCGAAACATAGATAAATTTAAATGATTGCTTTAAGGAGAGCAATCGCCCGGAAGAAGAGCTAGAATAATACCTTGAGTAATGTAAAAATCCCCAAAAAGAGAGGGGCTCTATTACTGATTCAGTAGGCATCTGAAGCATGAACCAGTATATTAGACTTTGAAGATTAAAAAATGGATGATACTTTTCCATGAGTCTAGTCTATTTGGGGAAGCATACTTGTAAATAGATAATTGCAATACAATGTATAAAGTATTGTAAAATAATTATGCAAAGGCATGAACTGGGCAACCAGCTACCTGGAAAAATTAAGTGCATTTTATAGAGAAAATGACTTTTGAGCTGGTTCTTAAATGAAAAAATATTTGCCAGGATAAACAATAAGGAAAGGACAATTCTCGGCAGAAGGAATAGTGTATGCAAAGGCTGGGAAGTAGGACAAAATGTACTGTTTTATAGCATCTCTTTCAAGGCAAGATCTCAAATGCAGTTTTAGAACGTTTGGTTATACTCTAAGGTGCCCAGCACTTATATTTCCATTTTGGAGATTTAAATTTTAATTAGCTCAATGTCATGCAGTATGAGTCAGAGGCAAGGATCCCAGACCAGGCGCCCGAAAACTGGAACACCAAGTCTCGTGCCCTGAGTAATTCTGTGTCATGGTAGAGGCTCTCTGGGTTATTTTACTTCCTTGGAACCAAATTCAACACCCAAAATTAACAGTCAGTTCTATCAAATGTTCCTTCTTTTAACCCCCAAAACATAGTCTATTAATAAAATATGTACTCCTAAGCAAAATGATAGAACCAGATACTGGACATTTACATAGCAGACAATTCAGTAGCATAAAACACTTTCAAAAACCAGTGAACAGTACTCTGAGGTGGGAAGGGAAATGGACTGAGGGGATAGAAGAGATAGTGGGGGTAGGTAGTGGGAATAAATAAATATTTACTCCTACATGAGGTAGGAATGTATCATGAAATGTTCAAGACTTCTTCAACTAATTATCTTATTTGTATGGTCAGATGTTAGCTTAATACTTTTCTGAGATCATCCACTACCTTTCTCATTTAACACAAAACAGCAAGCAAGTCGCTTTTTTTCAGGAGAAAAGTTGTTTATTTTGCAGCTAGGTGGGGTAATTTGCTTAGAACTCCTACAGGATATGAATCATTTGCATTAATACATTGACCTATTCTTACTTTGCTCTTTCTGAGAAGAGGCTTTATACATACATTATATAACGAAGAGGGTATCTTGTCATCGATTTAGTGTCATTCTCAAATCAACTTGTAGAATCTATAATAAACCCAAGAACTTGAGTTGCTTTTATGAACATCTGATGTAACTTCAGATAAAGGAACAAGCCACAGAATACCTCCCAAAAAATGTTAAGCCTTTTGCATACATTTTGTGAAATCTTTGGTTATTGGAGGAGAGTGTAGAATAGGGGAAAACAAAGCCCAGATGCAACACCTACACCTGCAGCCACTGATCTGTTTAAAACTTGTGTGAAATTTCACAACTGTGAATGTTATTTTACACTCTCCAGTTATTTCTTTAAATTACTTTAATCTTTTTAAAATTTTTTTGTTTTGAACATCTGTCTACTTGTTAGGGTAATTTGAACATTTAGTTGACATGTTTAGAATTAGAAAGGCTGGCTTATGTTTATAGATATATTAGATTGTTTATCTAATTATTGATAAATAAGCATGGATTTTAAGAGATAATTGATGCTGGTATTGATAGTCTGAATCTTGCCTATCTTGAGAATGTATCAGAAGAGAGAAAGGGAGGTACGCCCTAATTCTATGTTAATTAATGGATTCTGAACCTTGTCATGCAATAAGATATTTCAAGGTATAGATTTGAATTTAAAAATGGGGGTGGGGGGAATATAGAATGATAAAATGAGCTTTCAGTGGAAGTTTTCCATGAATCCATCCTTAACTATTGTCTCTCAGAATGTGGTCAGAACTTAAAAATGAAAAAATATACTCACTCTCTTTTTTTTTTTTTTTTTTTTGCTGTCGCTCTTTATTTTACAAATGATCTGTCTAATGTAAACAAATTCTAATCTCTAAATATAGCAAACCATCAAAAGGAAATAGTGTTGTACCCTGTTATTTATGAAACTCGCTGTGGCAGACTACTCCTAAAGCAGCTTAAACTGTGACTGAATATGTGCTAGAATTCATGCTAAATATTTTATGCCCCCCCTTTTTTAAAAAGATGTATTTATTTATTTGTTTGTTTGTTTTTTTATTTATTTATTTATACAAGCACTGGTTACAGTCAGAAGCGAAGGAGGGTGTGAGAATTCACCAGATCAGGGAACAGAACAGGCAGACTGATGAAATGCACTGCTGAGAGGATCAGCAGGCGCCACAGGAGAGGTCTGTCACACCATGTGGGACCCTCGCCTGCAGCCGGCAATTGATCCGGCACTGCAGAGGCTGCAGGCAGCTTCGCAGCCCAGTGCTCAACTGCTGTGCCACCAGGGGAGGCCCCCCCCCCTTTTTTTTTTTCCAGGAAATAAGTGACTTGTGTTTTTATTTTATTTTTTTTTAAAGATTTATTTATGCATACAAGAACTGAGATACAGGCCACAGGTGCGGGGGGTGAGAGGATTTACCAGAGACAGGGTAGGGAGCAGAACAGGCAGATGTTCTGAAATACACTGTTGAGGGGAGCAGCAGGCAAGACAGGAGAGGACTGCTGCACCATGTGGGTCACCTCCCTGGCCAGGGAACTCGTATTACAGTAGTTGTAGACAGCTTCATAGTGCTGATGCTTAACCCCTTGTGCCATCAGGGAGGCCTGACTTGTGTTTTTAGAATCTCAAGAAGTTAACTTTGTCACACAGAATGTTTCACAGTTTGTTAAGCATGTTTGTGCATGTGTTATGTGTGTGCTTTTCCCTACTTCATATGTGGTGGTGGTGGGGATGCCAAACAGTGCTACTTCATTGGAACTGATGAATAATATCTGTGTTAGATCATTCTACTTTATGATCTCTCTTCTTGTTTCCTTACCTAGTTATGCTGTTATTGCCTATGGCTGTGCCAGCTGCCCAAAGCTGACCTGTGAGAGGGAAGGCTGCCAGACTGAGTTCTGCTACCACTGCAAGCAAATATGGCATCCAAATCAGACATGCGATATGGCCCGTCAGCAGAGGGCACAGACTTTGCGAGTACGGACCAAGCACACTTCAGGTCTCAGTTATGGGCAAGAATCTGGACCAGGTATAAGTTAGCATTGTCTCTGTTGATATTATATGTGAACACAAAGCTGGGAGAGAGTACCTTACTCTATAACCAAATATTTCCTGAGATTAGAGAACAGAAAGTATTTGGTAATACTTCTAATATTATATTGGTATGTAACTTCCTTCTACAGTCATTATCAGTTATTCAACCCAGGAAAACCAGCAGTACAACACAATCAAATTTTCTAGTTTCTACCTTCTTAGTGATATGTCTCAGATTAGAGAGCAATCAATCAGGTCCTTTTGCAAGGGGCTTTCTCAGAACTTTCATGGTGAGCAGAAAGATTTTCTTTTTTTTTAAAGATTTATTTTATGCATGCACGAGCTAGGGTGTAGGCCAGAGGTGGGGGCGGGTGGGCGGTGAGAGGATTCACCAGAGACAGAGTGGGGAGCAGAACAGGCGGATCTACTGAAGTACACTGCTGAGGGGAGCAGTGGGCGAGACAGGAGAATAAGTCTGCTGAGCCCTGTGGGTCAGCTCCTGGCCGGGGATCAAACTCTGCCTGGCTTCGGATAGCTTCATAGTGCTGAGACTTAACCCCTTGCACCACCAGGGAGGCCCCCAGAAAGACATTTAATTAGTGTTAAAATTGTACTGTTTTTTTCCTACTTGCTTTAAGTGTATCACTGCTTTTGGAAGTAAGGTACAGATTTAAGGAAAGGAAATATTATTAGCGTGGATTAATGATTAACCTTAAAAGGAGGAATTTCACACATTTAGTTCTAACCTTTACAAGTCAGAGTAAACTTATTTTAAAATATCAATGGGTTTATTGCATTTTAGAAATGTACTTTACTTCACTGATGTCATATGGGAGAGGCTAGTCGGAATTTTACTATTCAATTTTTCCTGGCACAACATAATCTCTTAAATGTCATTTTAATAGGATAATTCCTAGCTGGCTGTGAAATTCCCAGGTATATGCTACAAAGCATACCCAATTGTTTTTAGATTTCGAATTTGAAAGTATCATGGGAGGGACTGTGCGTTGTGTTTTTTTTCAAGTTTGTATAGAAGAACTGGGGTGTAGGCCAGAGGTGTGGGGGGTAAGAGGTTTCACCAGAGACAGAGTGGGGAGCAGAACAGGCAGCTCTACTGAAATACACTGCTGAGGGGAGCAGTGGGTAAGACAGGAGAGGTCTGTCACACCATGTGGGTTTTCTCCCTGGCTGGGGATCGAACTCATGTTGCAGTGGCTGGTGATAGCTTGATAGTGCTGTGTCTTTAAACAATGCGCCACTAGGGAGACCCACTGTGGGTTGTGTTAACAGCAAATCATAATGAAACTTGCTGAGTCTAAAAAAAATGAATTTCCTGACCTTAAGTTTTCCAAAACCTAACGCCAGTTTCAAGCTGCAGAGTATTTTTTCTGTAGGACTCTACTTTTAATTCTTCCAGCCTGTTAGCTGGTGGAAATTCCATTTTTCTTAGAACTGCCTTTCTCTCTAAGGAAGTCTCCTTGCTCAGAGCATGGCTCAAGTACTATGTAAGATGCCAGTTTGGGGAGACTGGATGCATTATTGAAATTTCCTAAGTCTAGCCATAGCCTTCTAGCAAACTAGGTTGCAAAATTTGAATCCTCAGTCATGAGTTTTTGATCGCCTCCTCATTTCTTTAAGTATATTCCTAGGAATAATAAAATTAAACTAGGTTTAATTGAGGGTATTTTTCTACCCATTCTTCCTTCCCTTCTTAGCAGATGACATCAAGCCATGCCCACGATGCAGTGCTTACATTATTAAGATGAATGATGGAAGCTGTAATCATATGACCTGTGCAGTGTGTGGCTGTGAATTCTGTTGGCTTTGTATGAAAGAGATCTCAGACTTGCATTACCTCAGGTGAGATGGGAAATGTGTTCATTGCTTTTATATTCCTTATTCTTTTACTGATTTAGGAAGGATTTAAAAAAAAAAAAAGACATAATTGTCTTCTCATTGTAACATAAGGAAACTGCAGAAAATTCCTCTGAAGCAGCTCTCTGATCATATTTTTCTCCATCTTGGCAATGTCCAGTGACTGTCTCCATTACCTTCAGAAAGAGTTCAATTTCCTCAGTTTGAATTTTTTTTTTTTAAGATTTATTTATTCACACAAGAGCTGGGGTACAGGCCAGAGATGCAGGGGGTGAAAGGATTCACCAGAGACAGAGTTGGGCACAGAACAAGCAGACTGACTGAAACACACTGCTCAGCTTGACTTTTAAGGCTTTCTACAGTTTAGCCCTAACCTATCTTTCTAGTTTGTTCCATTTTGCTTTCATACAAGCTATAATCCAGATAATCTGAACTTGATGTTCCCTTGTGTCTCTTCTGTGTTTTTATATCCATACTTGCTCATGTTCTTTCCTTTACCTGGAATGCTTTCTAATCACCTCATCCTCTGAGCATCCCTCTTTTATCTCAACTGTTCAGTTCTTATCCACCCTTCAAAGACCACTTAAATGTCATTTCATCTGCGATGCCTTCCCCAGCCGTTTCTGCTTCATTCTTCTTAATTGACATTTCTTAAGTGTTTCTTTTCTTTTTTTTTTAAGATTCATTTATTTATGCATACAAGAGCTGAGGTACAGGCCAGAGATACGGGGAGGTGAGAACATTCACTAGAGACAGGGTGGGCAGCAGAACAGGCAGACTGAAATACATTACTGAGGGGAGCAGCGGGCGAGACAGGAGAGGTCTGCCTCGCCATGTGGGTTGCTCTCCGACTGGCCTGGGATTGAACTCGTGCTACAGAAGCTGCGGATTGCTTCATAGTGTGGTGCTTAACCCCTTGCACCACCAGGGAGGCCCTTAAGTGTTTCTTTATAAACATCATCATTACTTCATGCACATACCTAATTTACTTTAACTGTAAGTTTCTTAAGGCCAGAGATACCTTTTTACAGCTCTTTCATGTAGTGAGTGTCCAAAGAAATCATAGTGAATATTAAAATACTGTCCTGAAGAAATTAATATATACAAACTTAACATTCAGGAGATGATTGTATGGGTGAAACACTTTTCTTATTTAGCAAACATTTGAGTACTTAAAGTGTGCCAGTTATTAGGGACATGGATGAATAAGATATCCCTGTTTTCAAAATTATCCCATCTGGTAGAAGACAGGACAATGGTAACGAGTAAAAATAGTTGGACCCAGAAGGGCTGAGTGTAAAGTAGCCAAACTGAGTACAAATGTAATATAAAGTATGTAACAAGGTCTTTTGCTATATCTATTGGATGTAGTAGGACATACACCAAAATAACTATGCAAATCAAAGTGTTATTAGCTGCAGGGCACTTAATGTGATGTCATGTGGGAAAACTATGAAAATACTATTCCAAATGCTATCAGTCAAGGAAGCTGGATCAGTTTGGGGATTAGGGAGGGCAGAGTTCCACGGAAAAGAGCAAGTGAATAGGCCTGCCTTTACAAAAAAGAAGATCCCAGAGCTCTAATAGTCTGGCTTTTGTCCTTTGCTCCTTGATATGCAATATATTCATTTCCTGTAATCTCCTGTAACAATCACTCCTATTAAAAAGAAAGTTCTTATTCTTATCAGTTATCAGTTCTTTGCATGATTAAGCTGCATTTGTAAGATTGACATTAACTTTAGCTTCTTTCTTCTTCAGCCCCTCTGGCTGTACGTTCTGGGGCAAGAAGCCATGGAGTCGCAAGAAGAAAATTCTTTGGCAGCTGGGCACATTAATTGGTGCTCCCGTGGGGATTTCCCTCATTGCTGGCATTGCCATTCCTGCCATGGTCATTGGCATTCCTGTTTATGTTGGCAGAAAGGTAAGACATGCTGAGTTCTTTGCATGTTCCATCTTTAGGTTTGTTAGTAAAGGTCTGAAGGAAATAAGAAGAGCTTATAATTCAGAGCTGCTTGAAAACCAGCTGGTTCTTGGATAAAAATAACCTTAATTTCTTAAATGGACTTTCATAAACCCCCAAGAGATCTGATAGTTCTTATTAACATCCTGGGCCTGGTTTATCTCAGAGATTAGAGGTGAAATGCTTACTTCACTCTTGATTTATTTTGTCTCTTTCTGGGTTAACTTTTTCTGTATTAGGTTGTATTTACCTAGTTTGAGTTAGGTTCAAAATTGAGAAACATGTTTCTTTGGAGTGGGGAATATGTTTTAATATAGTTAGCTTATAAAAGAATATAAACTTTCCCTTTTTGTCCCTGGCAAAAAAAGATTAATGTCTTCATCTACTGACCTGGAATTTCTTTTTTATCCTTAGATTCACAGCAGATATGAAGGAAGAAAAACCTCCAAACATAAGAGGAATTTGGCTATCACAGGAGGAGTGACCTTGTCTGTCATTGCATCCCCAGTTATTGCTGCAGTTAGTGTTGGTAAGCAAGCCATGACCATGACCTCTCCCCCCACCGCCACCCATAGTCTCCCCACACAGATACCAGATTTCTGGCTGTAGCAGTTTAGTCAGGTATTTCACCCTGAGGGTGTCTACATTTTATGCCAAACCCACCTTGGTAGTTAACTCTATTAGGCACTATTATTATGATTATCAGGCACACTAAATTATCAGTATGGGGTCTTTCATTCTTAAATTAGTGCCTCCAAGTCAGTCGGGTACAGAGAAAAGGTTGAATTAAAGATACTAGTTTTTCACCTTTCATCTTCTTGCCATGAAACCCAAAAAATACTTCTATTTTGATTTGCTTAATGCCTCACAGTGTTTTGAGAGGTATGAGGGTTTGTTTTATTTTTTTTTTTTATAGAGGCATGCTTTTATTTATTTATTTGTTTATTTGTTTTGTTTTATACATGCACTGGGTACAGTCAGAAGCACGGGAGGGTGGGAGAATTCACCAGAGCCAGAGCGGGGAGCAGAGCAGGCAGAAGGACCGAAGTACACTGCTGAGGGGAGCAGCGGGCGGCAGGAGAGGTCTGCGCGCCATGTGGGACCCTCCTCCGGTGGCCGGGGAGCAGCCGGGGATCGAACCGGCCCCGCAGAGGCCGCAGGCAGCTTCGCAACCCAGCGCTCAACCGCTGCGCCACCGGGGAGGCCCTGAGGGTTTGTTTTAAAAAAAGAAATTAAGGGGCCTCCCCGGTGGCGCAGCGGTTGAGCGCTGGGTTGCAAAGCTGCCCGCAGCCTCTGCAGCGCCAGTTCGATCCCCGGCTGCTCCCCGGCCACTGGAGGAGGGTCCCACATGGCGCGCAGACCTCTCCTGCCGCCCGCTGCTCCCCTCAGCAGTGTACTTCAGTCCTTCTGCCTGCTCTGCTCCCCGCTCTGGCTCTGGTGAATTCTCTCACCCTCCCTCACTTCTGACTGTACCCAGTGCTTGTATAAATAAATAAATAAATCTTTAAAAAAAAAAAAAAAATTAAGGGCTGAGCGCTGGGCTGCGAAGCTGCCCACAGCCTCTGCAGTGCCGGTTCGATCCCCGGCCACAGGGCGAGGGTCCTACAGGGCGCGCAGACCTCTCCTGCTGCCCCCTGGTCCCCTCAGCAGTGTACTTCCGTCCTTCTGCCTGCTCGGCTCCCGGCTCTGGTGAATTCTCTCACCCTCCCGCATTTCTTACTATACCCAATGCTTGTATAAATAAATAAATAAATAAATCTTTTTTAAAAACCTAAATTCTCATCATTTAAAAAAATAAAAATAAAAAAAGAAATTAATACAACTAACATTTATTGAGAACTCCCCATGTGCCAGGAACAGTTCTGAGTGGTTTTTTTGCTTGTATTAATTTAATCCTCACAGCAGCACAATTGTGATAGAAAGGTGCAATAATTTGCCCAAGGTCACTTAGCCAGAACAAGAATCATGGGGCCTCACTGGTGACCCAAAGGGTTAAGCACCGCACTATGAAGCAATCCGCAGCCTCTGCAGCACCAGTTCTATCCCTGGCTGGCCAGGGAGCAACCCACATGGTGAATACACTGCTCCCCTCAGCAGTGTATTTCAGTCAGTCTGCCTGTTCCGCTCCCAACTCTGTATGGTGAATCCTCTCACCTCCCACATCTCTGGCCTGTACCCCAGTTCTTGTATGCATAAATAAATAAATCTTTAAAAAAAAAAGAATTAGGGCAGTCTGACTTCAGACCCTGTACCCTTAACAATGAAGCCATCTCTCTCCCCCAGCAGTGAGGTTTTAGAAATAGCACTCTAGAGGGATACTAAACCGCAGGAGTCACTTATTTAATACTTTATTATTGACTGACTCTTGGATTAGCATGTCAGCAATGAATAGAAAGTGAACACTGAAAACAACATATACTTCCTGTGCTGAGCATTGTATGTATATTCTCTCTCAGTCATTGACAACTCTGGGAAGACATATCACATCCAAGATCATATGGCTAAGTAAAATAGAGTCAGGATTCTAATCCAGGCCTTTATGTTTTCAAATCCAGTTATTCTGGCTTCCTCTATGGCATAGCTCCCTTCTGTCCTTCCTTGGCCCTTTGTAAAGTGGTTTGTCTGTGCCCAGGCTGGGAAGGAGAATTCAGGGCAGTTGCAGCCTGGTAGCCTACTGACGTGTTTCCTTCTTTTCCCCCAGGTATTGGCGTCCCCATTATGCTGGCATATGTCTATGGGGTTGTGCCCATTTCTCTCTGTCGTGGAGGTGGCTGTGGAGTTAGCACAGCCAATGGAAAGGGAGTGAAAATTGAGTTTGATGAAGATGATGGTCCAATTACAGGTAAAAGAGGATTTTTGTTTCCCTTTGAACTTATGGGATACAAGATAAAAATCAGTAAAATTTAGCACATTTTTACAAAGAGATTGTCATTGGATTACTTTGGATAATGAGCTTTGTAGGGGGTAAAGTATTTTTAGCTTTTCATTTCTTTGTTCTAGAGTTATTAGGTTAATTCCTCTGGTACTTGCCTCTGTGTGGCAGGTACAAACTAGTAGGATCCCATGTAACTCCAAGTATGCTGGTAATAGTAGTGATTGCAGTAGAGTCTTATATCTGTACAGTACTTTATAATTTCAGAGGAGTTTACACAGTTATTATCTCACTTGCTTTTTACAAGAGCTCTCTGAAGAGGGAGGGCAGGGACTATTATTATCCCCGCTTAATGAGAACTTCTGCATGCTTTTGTCTCAATATCTGTTCAATGAGTTTAAGAGCTTCTGCAGAGCTGAGACTAGAACATGTCTTCTGACTTCTACTTTGATGTCTTTTCCACTTTACCATATTAACTACCTGGGGGCACAGAATCCTCAAAGATTTTTCAGGCTTCCTACTAGAAGTTATGCATGATCTAAATTATTTTGAAATCTTCATGTTTAATTGGATGGCATCTATGGTGTAATGGATAAGAGAGTGGACTTGCAATCAAAATTGTAGTTTTGTGCGACTGCTATGACCTTGGACAAGACATTTTGTTCTGTTTTTAGCTTTCTCATCTAAAATTTGGACTATTAATGCCTAGTTAATGAGATTGTTAAATATAAACATGTTAAAGCGCCTAATATGTGTAGCTGACATAGTAGCTATTCATTAAGTGAATAAACAAGTGTGTTTCTACATGAATGTCCTTCACTTTGAAGAGTCATTGCAGAAAAATGCTGGACTATTTTGATGCTGTGCTATTTTGAATTGAGATGCTTGATTCCATCCCCAGTGGCAGATGCCTGGCGAGCCCTCAAGAATCCCAGCATCGGGGAAAGCAGCATTGAAGGTTTGACCAGTGTGTTGAGCACCAGTGGAAGCCCTACAGATGGACTCAGTGTTATGCAGGGCCCATACAGTGAAACAGCCAGCTTTGCAGCCCTCTCAGGGGGCACGCTCAGTGGTGGCATTCTTTCCAGTGGCAAGGGAAAATACAGCAGGTAGGCAAATAGAAAATTTATGAGCCAGCTGGAATTTTAAGAAGTAGCATATCTGTATTGAATCATTACTGTATGGCAGGCATGTCCTATACACATATCATCTCATTTTTTTTAAAGATTTATTATTTATGCATACAAGAGCTGGGGTACAGCCCAGAGATGTGGGAGGTGAGAGGATTCACCAGAGACCGAGTGGGGAACAGAACAGGCAGATTGACTGAAATACTCTGCTGAGGGGAGCAGCAGGCAAGTCAGGAGAGGTCTGCTGCGCCATGTGGGTTGCTCCCTGGCCGGCCAGGGATCAAACTCATGCTGCGGAGGCTGCAAATAGGGTCATAGGTTGCGTCTTAACCACTTGCGCCACCAGGGAGGTCCCTCATCTCATTTTTGATGTAATCATCAGTGATTGTGTGTGTGTGTGTATGTGTGTTTCCATTTTTCTGATTAGAAAACAGACCCAGAAAGAAAGATTAAGTGACATACACAAAGTTTGGTGTTCTTTCTACCATACCAGAGTAACTACATAAAAAGAATAATCTTGACTTCAAATCCTCCCTCTACTACATTAGGTTGCCTACTTTAGGGAGAGAAAGCACATATTAGGCTTGTCACTGGCTTTTCAGTTGAACAGTGTTATCCTGTATCTTGTAGACTTATTGGTGCTATAATCCTTATTACCTTCTTTTCCTATTCCCATTTGACAGATAAGGAAAATCAACTCTATGAACTCTAGTTTATACCATGTAAAGCTTTGTGACTAAAAATGCTGTGACTGACTGAATTATTTTACCACTTAGACAAACTGGAACATAGTATATGTTACATAAGAAGTAGACAGTTAGGGCCTCCCTGGTGGCGCAGCGGTTGAGCGTTGGGTTGCGAAGCTGCCCGCGGCCTCTGCGGCGCCGGTTCGATCCCCGGCTGCTCCCCGGCCACCAGAGGAGGGTCCCACATGGCGCACAGACCTCTCCTGCCGCCCGCTGCTCCCCTCAGCAGTGTACTTCGGTCCTTCTGCCTGCTCTGCTCCCCACTCTGGCTCTGGTGAATTCTCTCACCCTCCCACGCTTCTGACTGTACCCAGTGCATGTATAAACAAAACAAACAAATAAATAAATAAATAAAACATGCCTCTATTTAAAAAAAAAAAAGTTGAGAGAAATTATAAAAAAAAAAAAGAAGAAGAAGTAGACAGTTAATTCACTGGAGAAGAGAACCCCAGAGAGGGGTAAAGGTAGAGCAAATCAAGGTAGGGAGGTAAGGGAGATAGTTGCCTTTGACTATCTGAAAGGCCTTGAACTAGAAAAAAAGGATTAGTCTTCTGACTCTTACCAAGAGGTAGATGATGACAACCTGACCTAGGTATAGAGGGAAACTAATAGTTCAATAAAGAGAATATATAGGGAAACTATGTAAAAGTCCAGAGAAGGACTGGATTACATTGGTAGAGATACTCAGCTGCCTATTCCTGAAAGTGAGACCAGATGACCATTTGCTAATAGAAAGATTCAAGCAACAGATGGCAGGTAGGCTGCTTGTCAGTCACCTAGGAGCCTCTTAAAAATAGATTTCAGGGACCTATTTCAGAATTAATAAAATAGAATCTCCTGTTAATGTTGGGATCTAGGGACCTGTGCTTTGGAAAACCTACCCCAGATGGTTCTAGCATAGTCATTGCACAGACTAGCATTTGGGAACCACTTGAGCAGATATCCTTTGTTAAAGACCTCTCCTAATTCTGAGAATGATTCTGTCCAAAAATTGAACCTAGAACCCAGCTCTCTGACTTGATGTACTTTCCACTACTTTGTTGCACTACTTTGTTTTCCTGGACGTGGCACACTCTTGAAAGACATCTGCGGCTGCAGTGGCAGAGTGAAGGCACAAGCAGCAGGAATGAGGTGGTTTGAATGTGCATCTATAGGCTGCTGCTGACCTGTCTGTGTCCCATGACTCTGAGTGGTTGTCTCGTTAGGGGATCCCGCCCCCACATACCAGAGAATTCACTGCTGTGCTTTCTTAAAACCAACACCCCTGTAAATAAGCAGACAGACATAATTGGAGACTGACTTGCTGAAATTGCAGCTTAACCAGTCCAGCTGTTCCAGTTCTGTGAAAGCCTTTTATAGGAAGTGAATGAGTCAGATGGGTTTGACTGTGAAACTCATTATGAGGAAATACTTAAGTGTGCAACAAAATGGTGTTAAAGCCAAGAAGGGAAATAGTTACGGGTTCTCAGCTCTGAGATACCATTGGGAAAGTTTGCTACTCTTACAGAAAGTGGGTTCCTGTATCTTCTTCATTCTCATAGCCTGGGTTAATTTGATTGCTAATGTTTGAGTTCTTATTAGTGCAAAGAAGGGTAAAGTGTGAATGAGGTGGTCTTTGGAGCACACGGATGAGTAGGAGAGAGACGTATAAATTGATATTAACAGGCAGGTGCTATGAGAGCACTTAGCAGGAAGTGACTGGTTTGCTGAGAGAGTGAGGGGAGATGATGCTTCTTTTGTTGTAAAGGACTGAGTGTGAGTTTGTCTCATAGAGAAAAGAAACTTCTAAAGGGAGGATGCAACATCATAGAGGTATAAAATGTGTGTAGTTAGGTAAGGAAAGAAAGAAAATCTAAGTGATTGTGATTTAGACCCTATGGTGAGAGATTCGACAGGAGAAAGGGCTGGAGGCAGATCAGGAAGACCTTAAATGCTTGTTGGCAGTAAGGAGCCAAGAGAGAACTGTTAGAGTAATTGGATCTTTGTCTATACCGGCATTGATCTAGAAGTTGTTTAACTTGGACTTAGGACTTTTAGAGAGAGCCCAATTGCAGTTATCCAAGCAGGAGATCGTGAGGGCCTGAAGTTAAGCAGGAGTCGTGGGGATAGGAAGGAGGAGGGGACGATTTCAGTAACTACTTAAGAGAAAAGGCGTGGGCGTCTGTTTGAGCTGTTTGACAATGGTAGAGGATCAGATCAATTCAGTTTGTAAGAGAATAATGGACGAGATATGTGCCCAGAAGCAGACTGTCTTGGAATATCCAGGTCTCATATTAACTTGAACGTCCCCTCTTTACACAGGTTAGAAGTCCAAGCCGATGTCCAAAAGGAAATTTTCCCCAAAGACACAGCCAGTCTTGGTGCAATTAGTGACAACGCAAGCACTCGTGCTATGGCCGGTTCCATAATCAGTTCCTACAACCCACAGGACAGGTATGTGAACAGTCAGATGTCCAGGAAAAGTTGCATCTACTTGGTTGGGTACAGGCCTTCAGAAATTCAATGCCTCTTTGTCAGGTCTCAGTGTAGATCCCCCATCTAGTGGGATCTATAGGGTGTGTACCTGTGAATTCACTGAGCAAGTCTTTGGTATGGAAGTGGCATCTTTGATCTCTTGCTTGATTCTTGTTAGCACTTGGTTATTTTTAGAAGTTTTTTCCTTTTGGTCTTTTTTTCTTGGCTATTGCAACAGTATAATAATTCATGTGGAGCTTAAAGAGTTAGGTTGGTGTTCATTGATACACGTGCATCTGTGGTCTCTGTGCTTATGTCACCCTTTGCTGATGTAGCTCTCATAGTCTACTTCTCTTCATTTTTGAGAAGCTAGTATATGTGGTATGGTATGATTACAGTGCAGCATGCTGCAGAGATTCTGATTTGTTTTTTTTCCCCAATTGTGACACAGTAGTAAAAAGTAAAACCCTTTTTAGTTGTTTAAAGACATTGGTATGTATATTTTAAGTTAACAAAGCTGCTGTTATTGTCCATCTTATTTGAGTATTAGATTAGATTTTAATTTTTGCTAAAAGTGAACTCTAGTCTGTTTACCTATGCTTTCAGACTTCCTAATCCTGAACCCACACAATGCTTTCACCAACAGGTATAGCATGACCCATACATGACTCAGCAAAGTGGATTTTGTCTTCACAGAGAATGCAACAATATGGAGATCCAAGTGGACATTGAAGCCAAACCAAGCCACTATCAGCTGGTGAGTGGAAGCAGCACAGAGGATTCACTCCATGTTCATGCTCAGATGGCAGAGAATGAAGAAGAAGCCAGTGGTGGTGGTGGCGGCGGAGGCAGCAGTGAAGAGGACCCCCCCTGCAAACACCAAAGCTGTGAACAGAAAGACTGCCTGGCCAGCAACACGTGGGACATCAGCCTGGCCCAGCCCGAGAGCATCCGCAGCGACCTGGAGAGCTCTGACACCCAGTCGGACGATGTGCCGGACATCACCTCAGATGAGTGCGGCTCCCCTCGCTCCCATACTGCAGCCTTCCCGTCAACCCCCAGAGCCCAAGGTGCACCGAGCCCAAGTGCCCATATGAACCTCTCTGCCCCAGCTGAGGGGAAGACTGTCTTAAAGCCAGAAGGTGCAGAAGACAGAGTATGAAGAGGAATGAATGCTCCTGTTCTGAGAAGCACACTTGTAACTGCATCTTTTGGAATCTTTTTTTGGGGGGGTAGGGAGGCAGGGATTTATGTATTTTATTTCAAAGATTCTCTGGTCACAGGTTTTCCCCAGGGAAATTCTGAGAAATTTGCAATTTCTTACTAGATAAAACATGGAAATTTTGCCCTTAGTCCCACCCCCTTCTATTTCCCCCTTTTTTTAGTTTTAATTTATTGGTTAAACTGATGGTGGCAGTCTGTGAGGTGTGTTAAGAGTGTACAGATGTATGTGTGTATATGTATGTATGCTAACATATTACAGAAGGATGCATTTTAATAAAGATTTCTGTCGTAATTCAACTCATCTCCTTTTCCTTGGCTTAGATAGTTCCACAGAGCCAAGTGTTTGATGGAAATAGACCACTATGTTTTTCACAGTCTCTATATCTGAGTTTTTCTAGTTCCAGGGAAGAAGGATTACATTGTAATCAGATTGCAGTGGAGTTCTCTATAAACCGGTGACTTCTAGCATGACAGGAAGCAAAGCTAGGCTTCTTTTAGACCTTGTAGTCAGACTGAAGAATTAGCTGAGTCAGCTGGAAAAAGAAGCTGTAGATTAAAATGAACCTTGTTTGCCCTCTAGAGGCAGCTGTGCTATTTCCCCACTAAGGCAGGATCTACCCTTTCTGCGTTATATTTACTCTGAGGAATGTGCTCCAGAGGAGGGAAGGGGTGGCAGTGCCAGTGGCTCTTTAGAGAGATCCCAGTGACTATTAAACTGTTATAAGTTGGGGAACAGAGTGTTCTTACTGGAAGAAAAATGTACTGATTCTTCATAACCAGCAAGCAATAATGGAGGTGTTTGTTGGGCTGTCAGCTACATACTTCCAGTTCCAAAAAACCTTCTCAGTTTTGCCAATCTAGTCTAAGTAAGAGGGACTACGGGTTCTGACTAAAACCTGTAATGAAAGAAGAGACATGTCCATTAAAAAGCATTTTATTTTATCAGATCTGATAAATTTATCAGAATTAAGCCAAGTTGTACTACTGGGATTTTGTCTATTTTTTATAGAGTAATAGCCTTAGAAATGAAAGCTCATAGTAGAGCAGGAAAATTAAAGGATACATGAGACCTGTTGTATATTCCAAATCTGACAATAACTTCCTTTGTGACTATGTTATGCTCTGATGCCCCTAATGTCCCCAACTCTCAGTATTTAAGAACTTCCAGTGCCAAACTCCTCTATCGCCTTAGCCCCGGGCCCAGAGGAAGAACTAAAATCATCCTTTCCTGAGGACCAGATGGCTTTCTGTTTCCTTTCACAGATGCACCTGCTCTCTGTCTTCCTGGCCTGTGCTTTACTACAACAATGAGGATGATGAGTTTGGACAACAGCCGACATGGAAGATTCTTACCTCTTGGTCTCTCCAGCCAGACTTAGCACATTTCCCTGCACCTGGGACAGGAAATGCTGTCAGTGGACTTTGAGACTCTGGAAGAAAGTGTCCTACTGGGTGTCCTTGTGTGGGAAAGGGAACCCATTGGGAAAAGGGGCAGTGTGGAAATCTCTGAAATGCATTTTGTCAACTTAAGGTTTGCAATTTCTTAAAGCCTCATCAAGAAAGCAAACTACAGGAAAAATCAAAGGAATCTGTTGGAGGAGAAAGAGTTTGCAGCCTAACCTGTATTATCTAGGCTCCACTTATTAATGCTGTGAGACTTAGGCAACTTACTCAGAATCTGTTTTGACTTAGCCAAAATGGGAGTAATAATCCTAATTATGGGGTTGTAAAGATATTGAGATGGTGTACTGAACATGCATTTGATAAAGGCTCATGTTTTTCCTCCTGAGGAAATAGAGTAAGTTAGGGAAGATTATGGGTGTCATCTGAGAAAATCCCAGAACTCTAGACTAGAGGCTATGAAAAACTAAGCTCATTCTAATCCTTTGCAAACTCCTCTTGTATGAGCTGGACTTCAGCTGCTGAAAAGGCCTATTAACACCACCTGGAGGAGAACATAAGTAATGCATTGAAAAATCAGGTGGTCCGTTTAGCAAATGGGGAAAGTTTAATTTCCTCTCTGTACAGCATGTATTCATTCTGAAATACCTACTACATTTCAGGTGTGGGATGCAGCAATAAGGAAAACACAAAATTCCTGTCCCTGTAGAACTTAAACTCCAGTGGAAAAAGATGATCAGATATATAACCTGGATGAGGAACTTTAAGTGTGCTGAAGAAAACAAAGCAGGGAATCAAAGTGAAGAGAGCGGCAGATGGTGCATCTTTAGATGGATAATGTAGGTCTCTTTGATAAAGGTACGTTTTACTAAGAATGGAGAAAGGACCCTGTGGATATCTAGGGGAGAACATTCCAGACATGAGTAAAGTACAAACAGCCCTTTGGCAGGCTAGCCTTGGCCTGCTGGAAACACACACATACACACACACAGCACAGGGACCTATATGGCTAGAATAAAGTGGACCAAGGAGAGTGGTAGATTAGAGGTTGCTGGGAACAAGATTATTATTCCTTGTCTGAAGACAAGGAAATTTTAGGTTGTCTGAGGTCAGGAAGAGAGGTAATATTCAAAGCCAGACAGTTGGGGTGCTTGCTGTTAACTTTCAGACTGGGAGAGGGTATGTCTGGTCACCCACCAGTCATACTTAGAAGGGTGAATGGAAAGAAACTTGTGGATATGGTAAATGGGTTCTTGCGCATTTCCGACCTCTTTCTAATATGCTTTCTTGTACAGTGGAATCTGGAAAGCTAAGAACTCTTAAGTCCTAAACGTCTTTGAAACCAATGTTCAAAATACAATTTGCTCTTTGCCAATTAGATGCATGAACTGATGTGGTAGGAGGATGTGATTCAGGGGGCATACTTTGGTTGCTCCTGCAAGGATATAAAGACATTGGGTTTCTCTTACATGGTATTGAATACCTGTCATTAGCTTTGTGGGTATTGAAGGGCTTTCTGATCCATAAATAACAGTCAGTGATGGTGTTCTTACTGTCATCCTGTGTTGACTGACTTCTTATCTCCCTGATGGTAGCAGCTTCCATGGTAGACCTATTCTGGGAGTTTTTCTTGGAAGTCTTGCTTATAGCCCACTGGCCCAGACTTTCCAACTTTAGTAAACACCTACTTTATATTGAACCTTCTCTACTTAAAATAGTTAAAAGGATCTTGTTTCCTGTAACCACTGAACCCAGATTGATACAGAATTTGGTTCTAAAAGTGGTTACAGGCAGTAGACCCTCAAAGCTGGGACTCCTGGATACTTGGGAATAAGTTGGATTTGCAGGAAATGAGGATCTAGTTGCCACTGGAAAAGGTAAACTGGTAGGCTAAAGTTAGTTATAGTTGGGTCACCTGAAATGAAATGAAATGCTATGGAAGAAAGACTTTGCAGACCAGGTGCCATGATAGACTGTCATGTAAGATGAAGATTCAGATGGCAGTGACTGTGCTGGAGAAGTTAAGAAAGAAAATGAAAGCCTTCTTAAGAGGTTTTTTGTTTTTTTTTTTAATTTATTTGTTTGTTCGTTTTGTTTATACATGCACTGGGTACAGTCAGAAGTGCGGGAGGGTGAGAGAATTCACCAGAGCCAGAGCGGGGAGCAGAGCAGGCAGAAGGACCGAAGTACACTGCTGAGGGGAGCAGCGGGTGGCAGGAGAGGTCTGCACGCTATGTGGGACCCTCCTCCAGTGGCCGGGGAGCAGCCGGGGATTGAATCGGCACCGCAGAGGCCGCGGGCAGCTTCGCAACCCAGCTCTCAACCGCTGCGCCACCGGGGAGGCCCCGCCTCCTTAAGAGTTTTAAGTTTTCAGCTCAAGGCATGTATAGGAGAGCCTCCAAAAGAATTTTTTCTCTTATACCCTCAATGCTTATGTACGTGAAAATCAGATGGAGAGTCTGAGATATTGAATTACAACATAAATTCATAGCCTTACCAGGTATTTTATGAAAAAATTAGGGCATTGTTTCAGAAAGAGTGGGAGCCTGAAATAAGAAAGGGGAAACATTTGAGTACATTTGGAAAAAAATCCCAATGTTCTAAACCCACAGATTCTACTTAACTTCTCTTATTAGCAGAAGTAACCTTTCTTCCTCTCACTGATATTGGCTGGGCCTCTTACTTGGAGAGCCTGGGGTAGTTGTCTTTAAAGGGAATGCCAGTACTATCCACTACTCCTTATTGCCATCAGATCTGTAACTAGAGTCAGATCCCAGTAAGTTTCTGGAAGGCAAATACAAAGTCTGATCTGAGAAAAGGTGTACAGAAGGTTTTGCTAATTTGATTTATGGGTTCATTCTAAAGGTATTAGACCAGGAAAAGAAGAATGTAACTTTCTTTTCAATTGGGTTTAATTTATTAATATGGGCATTCTAAATATTATGTACTCAGTATATTGGCTTTAGCAGCATAAAGTGAGTCTTATCTGGTTGGTTGGATGAAACTGGAACTTAACAGTGGTCTATACTCAAAGAAACTGAAATACAAAAATCCCTTAGTATAATCCTCAGAAGAGAAACCCAAAAACATGAAGATAGAGTTGATGAATATTTATCATATGTGTAACCTACTCATCTCTTAATTTTGCCCTCCAAAAATGCTCTAAGGATATTCCTTTCACCAAGAAATCGGAAAGTACACAAATAAGAGGAACACCTTACCTTGAAAAGTGCTGCAGTGTATTCCTCCAGAGGCTGGGAGTGAAGCTAAGAGAGGCTTCCATTGAAGTGGAGTTCCTATTTCAGCAGGGGTGACGGAGTCCTGGGGCGGCAGCAGCCAAGGGCCATTACCAAGGCAACAGAGCTGGAGTGAGGAAATAGAGGGGTAACCACTTGGGTTGTGCTCAGATTGTAGGACACAAAGCAAAACTCCAGGTCTGGCAAAGAGAGGCCTGTTTCAAGTCACCCAATGGAGTTATGAATACATACTAAATTCTCAGATCCAAGGCCCTTGAATAAAGAAATGCTGGGTACCCCGGAGGAAGCATTATCACTATAACTGAATTGTAAATATTCTAGTCTTTCCCTTAAGGAATCTTACACCATTTATCTACATGCCTGTATTTAGGGAAATGGAAATACCCAGGTCTCTAGGGACTTCTTGCAAACTGGCCCTAAGCCAGCACCGATCCCAAGAGACCTTAAAGGTATTTGTGTCCCATCCCCTCCCAGTTTCATATATTAGAATCCTAATCCCCAATACCTCAGAATGTGACCTAAATGTTTGGAAATAAGGTTGTTGCAGATATAATTAAGGTAACCACATCCTGGAGTATGGTGAGCCCCCAATCCTATGTGATTGGTACCACATAAAAAGATCCATACTGG